CTGATCTGTGATGCGACTGTCGTTCGGCACGCTGCATTGAGCATTGATTAATTGTAGCGTCTGTTCTTTTACTGAACTAAATGATTTTTATTACTATAAAAAATCAAAACGACGGTGGGGGTCGGTGGGCAAGTGACGTAACCGGTGTTGCGGCTTAACACCGGTATCACCAGTATCACCGTCTATCGCGGCAAGCCTACTGCAGCCTGGGGGTTTGTTGGAATAAAATAAAATAACATTTCTAATTTGATATTATAAAAAGAAATACATTTGTTGTTTTAACTATTTGCAATAACAACATGCAAATAACGTGACAAGATAATATATAATATATATGTCTAATAAACTATAATATAATATATTTAAATTCAATAATGCTTCAAGATTGTTCTTATAGTCTTTATTTAATATAAAATTGAATAGGCCAGACACCAACAGCAAATGCAAATTAATACTATTTATACTAATAATTTAATGTTTTTTTTTTTTTTTTTTCGTTGTTGTTTATTGTACAGTGAACAATCCTGGTACTGTTTTGGGTTGTCACCTGATGTGAAGAGTCCTGAAGTGAAACCCTTTTAGACCCAGTGCTTTAATTTAGCCGTTTGGCCACACATTGCTTCATTCATTCCAGAAAGAAACGGATTGCATTCACTAAAGATTCTCGCCCATTCTCTTAAGCGTTTTCTCGCAGAGGTTCCACAAGCATTCATCCTGCTTTTCTTCTGCGCCATAATCTCATCCATCTCTATGACAAGCTTCATTATGGGCTGATGCTCTGATGCACGGCGGTGCCCATTAGCGCTTAGTAAAGAACCTTGGCCTGAGCAGATCATTTATAAACATGAGAACAGACCTGGAGGGACTGTGTTTAACAAACACATTTGGACCCTGTAATAGAATCATTTAGGGAGTACAAGAGGAAAAATCACGCAAAAAGCCGGGCTCTAATTGGATACTGACCGTTCTGTTCCCTCTGCACCCCTGCTGCTAACAAGTCCGGTTCTCCCAGGCTGATGTCATTAAGTCTGCTGCCCAGACACTCCAAACACAATAACTTCCACCACTCCTCGGCCTCCAGCTCTGTGGACACACACATGCACAGCATCATTTTTATATGCAAACATACAGGAACAGCTGATGAAGAGACTGCAACAAGCAGGAGGAAAGCCCATTTACAGATTTAGCACTTTATTTAGCATTTAGTTGATGAACGTTATTTTTTCTAGTCATCGACCACCTCAGCCTTTCTGAGAATATGTTGAATGCTTTCTGCTTTAAAACTAAGCAGCCAGTAGTCAGACACAAAGATGGACAGACAGACATATAGAAGTGACAGACGGACAGGCAGATAGACAGTCAAGTTCATAGGTGTGGACACAGTGTCTAAAAATACTCGCCGAGTGCCAAATGTGAGTAAAACCTGGCTGTCACCTAAAGAAAGCAGAACTACTGACCATTTTTAGGAAGTGCAATGATGGAGGAAAGAAAGCCATACAGGTTTGCAACAGCATGAGGGGAAACGGTGACAGTAGATTCATTTTTATGTGAACTTTACTATTTATTACAATCACACTATATAGGGTAAGATGGGGGACGATGCCCCGCTTAAGAACACTGTGAACATTATTTAGATATAAGCTAAGCATGTGCAGGATGACGATACATCAGACTATATGTTATTAACATATGGGAAATAAATAGAAACATTTGCTGAATCAGGTCATTAAATCAAAAAGTTAAATTATTCAAATAAGCAACTGAGGTACCTGGGGCAAGAAGCCCCCCTGGCTAAACTTTTATAAAATGTATAAGCTGATATTAATTTGAATAATATTTATATATTTTTTACAGTTTTATTAATGTAAAATGCTAAATCAATTATTCTACTTACTGAATAATAGCCCTATGAATTGCAATAAGTATTAAAATGAAACATAGTAACACTAGTAACAACATGCCACTTGGGGCCTTCTGTGCCAGTTCTGGGGGTCAACGTTTTATATTTTCACCTCAGAATAAATATCATTTTAATTATAATTACTCCACAAATATGAAAACATAAATGTGTCCACAAACCCCTCATTAACAAATAGATACAAAAAACTTTAATATTCAACATAATACAATGTCATAGATCACTATTTGTTTTGTTTGTTTGTTAGTTTTAGTTTTGTATTTTGTTTGTTTTTTAGTTTTTTATTTTGTTTGTTTGTTAGTTTTTGTTTTTTATTTTGTTTGTTGTTAGTGTTTTGTTTTGTTCTGTTCTGTTCTGTTCTGTTTTGTTTTATTTTGTTCTGATTTATTTTGCTTTGTTTCCAGAGACACACAATTAGATCAATTAACCTCAAAACGGTTTTGACTGACAAATGTTGATGTTCAGATGAAATGACAAAATTTAGAATAGTGTGGACAATCATATATTCATTAAATGTGTAGGATTACATTTTGTGCCATCTATGTGACATACACACACACACACACACACACACACACACACACACACTATTTTAAATATTTAATATAAATAAATTATATAAATATAAATTATAATACATATAACTGAAATATATATATATATATATACAGTGGGTACGGAAAGTATTCAGAAAAAGCTGAAATAAAATCAAATATAAATATTAAATGAAAGACTTAAAATACTGCTGAAATATAAAAAGTTTCAAGTTGAAGTACTAAAATTACTAAAACTGAAATAAAATAAAATAATTAAAATGAAAACTGATAATGTAAAATATAAGCTAATTGAAATATGAAAAATATGATATATATATATATATATATATATATATATATATATAGTAAAGTACATATGATCTGATGTGATATTTTACATAAAGTTAATGTTATATATTTACAGTTTCAGAAATATAAATAATGCAGAGTTTAATAGGCAGTAATTATTTAGTATTTAGGGAGGCACACTTTCTCAGTTTGCTCATCATTGGCAGGTGTAGCAATAGATATTCTGGCCCCCGTATGCACACAAAAGAACAACACAAATAGCATTCTGTAGGAGTTTAGCTTTTTTTTTTTGGCACTCCATTTTTACTCTATTCTTCAAAAGCTCTGGGCTAATCTACAGCAGACTCCGAAGAGCATCATTCTAATGAGTAAACCTCACAAATCAACATCCACTCTGAAACACCTAATGCAGTTTAGCACAATGACACAAAGGAAAGGGAGCACAAATTATGACTATACGCCAACTACAAAATGAGCTCGGTCGACACCGCTTGTGCATGTGACATGGGTTTGAAAGCTCAACATTATGAGATTAGATTGGTCTAATTACGTGCCAAGTAGTTGTTAGCAGATTCGTGACCTCGTCAAGTTTGCGTTTTCAGCTGAGCTTGTTTGAATAACAATGGCTGTCTGCTTGATGTTGCCCTAAGTATATTTCAGCTGTAGTAATTGAAGCTTAAAATGAACACTGTATGGCTGTTGACATTTTAATTTTGCCTACTTGAGTAATGTGAGCAGGCACCATTCAAAATATTCAATTCAATGTGCCAAATGAATTTTTTAAAATAGTACAATAGACCCTTATCAAATAATTTCACTCATAATACTGTGTAAATCATGCACACAGATCCAAAAGCTGGGAAAAAACATAATGCCTTGAATTCTCTTTATCAAACTTATTAAACTCTCAAATCATTGTGCACATTTCCCCATTATTCTATACAAGCTTTTTGCTGGATTTTTTTCTTTTTTTGCATGGCCTCTCTCCTGAGACGGTGACCTTTAAGTGTGTCTAAATTCACACACACTTTTGGGCCCACTGAGTGGAAAATTGGATAAACAAATACTTCATCAGCATGGCAAACTCTCAAGTGCTCAGGCAGCTATGTGCACAAACACAAAGATGCCCGGTGGAATCACAGCACTTTACAGCACAACATCTTCACATGGTTAATGGTTCACTCAGAGCACAGGAAATGAGAAGAACTACATGATAAATAGTTAGGAGCAAGAAAATGGGTCAGGATGGATGAAATAGATTAGGGCTGCAACAACAAATCGGTAATGGAAATAATTGACAATGAATTTCATTATTGATTAGTAGGATCTGTGGGCCCTGCTTGGAGGACCACGTCAGTGCAGCCACTTTAAAGAACAGTGAAAAATGCATTTACATGGAAGGGGGAAAAATTATTTAATTACAGTTTACCGCTTTATTCTTCAAAGGCAAGCATTTTCATTTGGCAAAGCAGAGCATCCTAAAAGCAAGCAAGCTCAAGTATTTAATAGAAATAAAAGAGCTTTTATTTGGATCAAAGCAATATTAATTTAAACAACAAATGTAGGTTTTAAATGAACATTTACATTTATGCATTTGCCAGACGTTTTATCCAAAATGTTTTATATTACAAGGAATACTTTTTTTCAGTTTATGCATTGCCTGGCATTGCGAATGCAATACTCTGCTGAATTTTTATATTATGAAAATCTACCATTCAAAAGTTTGGGTCACTAAGATTTTTTATGTTTTTGAAAAAAGTCTCTCACCAAGGCAGCATTTATTTGATCAAAACTACAGTAAAATATGCAATACAACAAAAAAATTGTCAATTATTATTACAATTTAAAATAACTGTTTTAAATTCTAAAATATAATTGTGATAGGAAAGCTGAATTTTCAGCAGCCATTACTCAAGAAACCTTTATTATTATTATCAATGTTGAAAACAATTGGGCTACATAATATTTTTGTGGAAACCATTATACTATTTTTTTTTATAATTTGATGAATAGAAAGTTCAAAAGAAAAAAACTTAAAAATGTACAAGTCTTTTCAGTCACTTGATAAATTTAATGCATCTTTGCTGAATAAAATTATTTATTTATTTAAAACAAACTGTGCCTCAAACTTTTGAACAGCATATTATTTTTATATTATTTTAGGGCTGATAATTTTTTGGTGCAAAATGTAAAGTGTTATTATTAGATATTAATTAATAAATTGAATTTGCAAATTGCTTGAAGCATTGAACAAAATGCGAAATCTTAATAAATAAATCATTTAAATCTGCTTTAAGTTGCAGCCCTCATAGACACGATTATTGTAATAATGAGGGAGAGCGCGAGAGAGAAGAAAAGGGTCATAGCAGCACAGGCGTAACCCGACAGACTCAGAGGGAGGTGAGGAAGTGAAAGTGAAGGATCAAGGGAGGTCAGTTCCTACATGTGGCGGACATGTGAGGGACACAAGCTCCATATGGCCGGAGTTTGTGAGAAAGGGGAAGTTCGAGAGGGGGTGGCTCGTGGACATGTACTTGTGCCAAAATTAAAAGAGCCACAAGCAGAGTTTACACACACACACACACACACACACATATTTGCCCGAGGTCCACATTGACTCAAAGGTGATTTACTCCCACAAGGACAACAAGGTGATCTAATGCAGCAGGACACATTAGTAACAATCCAGCACAGAAAAGTCTTTGAACGTGTCACAGATACTGCTGAAGACTTCTTCATTTAAACAGCCTCAAGGCACGTATACTTTTTAAACCCTCAGTGTATGGCCATATCTCGCTCAGCTCTTCATTTATGCCCTATGCCCGCTCTACCCATTTCCCATTAATATCCTGCCTCTGAAGGGAGTGAAGGAGAGCTGGGGGTGGGGAGGTTATTGTGGTAAATGGATTCAGGAGAACATTCCTCGCCTCCCCCTGGCAGTGCGGAAGACCCCAGAGGTGCTAATGATATCCCAGCGGGTCCACCGTCCCGCTCTCCCCGTGCATAGCCACTCCACTGCCTCTCCTTCCCGTCTCCTCCATTTCTTCGCCTTTCCTCCCTCTCTCTTCTCTTGTTTCCTACCTGGGAATTCAGCTTGACAGGAAATTTGAAGGAGAAGGACATTCAGCGCTTCTTATGGTCAAAAGAGTTTTAATAATATGTTTGTGACCATTTTTGCACACATTATTGTCGGTGGAAATCACTAAAAATGAATTAAACCTGCTGTTATTGGACTTGTTTTAGCAGCCATTTCACTAAAGTAATTATGAAAGTGAGGTAATGGTGCAAATACATCCACAAAATACTGCTATATGTTGTAG